TTGACTACCTCGAACACCACGCCCTTTTGCGTCCCAGAAGCGCCGACCGAACAGCTCAACAGTATTAACGACCATTATCTATCAAGTTTTTTTTCATTATTGGAGTGCCGGTAGTTTTAGAACCAAAAAGCTTGGCACGCGACGATGGTAAGAGACCAGGGTGCTTACCTACTCTTGAAACCAATCTCAATGTCAATGCAATTTCAATCCAATAAAAACTCAATAATTAATCAATGTCAAAACTATACAACCAAAATCGTAGCTGTTACATTAGCATTCAGAGTACGGTATATATAAACTCAATACTATTTAGTTCATTCGATATCCACGCAATACGGATGCAATGGGCGCTATTGTTGCAACTCAAGAGTATGAAATTTCGCAATACCAATGTCGATCGATCGGAATTGGATTCAAGAGTAAGCCACCAGATGACATATCCATTATGCCCTGAAAGTTGGGAAAGTTTTGGAAGGGAAGGTGCGAGACGCATCCCTAATCGACATCCTCATAACTCATTAGGCTGCTCCGTCTGCAGAAACCACTCGTGGCGCAATTATCTATGATACCTTTATACCGGAAATTATATTGCTGAGCCGTTTTAGGGATGAAAGTTTAGGCCCGTTGGGTCCGAGTGCATATCATTTACGTAGTTAAAGATATTTATAGACGATATCGAACATTTTAGTATCTTATGATTATGACACACACATTTTTGTTCCGGATCTGAGTGTGATGTTTACTTTTGATACAAACTGATACTGCATACGCAACCATGACACAGAAGAAAACCTTACTGTGTGTACCGTTTAAAAGAAAAGAAGATAAAATTATGAAGGGTTAATCTCTAAATACAGGGAAATGGCATTTCACCATGATCTTATAACGCAATATGTTTGTGGCGGACTTCTGGGTGCTCGTTATATTTGTAGGACTGCATATAGTGTCCGTGAACGCACCAACATATAGCTTGAAAAGTTACGTGATGTCTATGGATAGAATATTTATATGTTTATGTAATAAATCATCACACACACGATAAATAAGGGAGTAATTAGTACTTAGGTACCTACATAGAAAGATGAAATATTGTTCGATATGTTTAATCGCAGTTATTATTTTAAAAAATGTTGCAAGTTACATTAATGATAAGTTAACATTATTTTACATTTCATTATAATAAATCCTTTAGATAGAATAAGAAATTGTCAATATTATTTGTTATATAATATTATGTAATATAACTACTTCTAACTTTCTATACCTCTAAATAGTACATTTTTATTCTTTTTGACAGTGATAACATGCGCACGTAACAGCTGATTTAAATATCAAGTTTCTTTCTCCATCTAAACATAACACCTTGACTGGTACCTGAAAATAAATAGAGGAAGTATTTATTTAAGCGGATGAAAAAATCGACTGTTACTTTGGGCCTCCGCTCCGGTAACATTAATCACACTACAAAACATAGATAATGCAATCGTTGTCTCACGCGATGATCCCGGGCATTCAGTGCCTTTAGACGTTAAATGGCATTTGGCTATAGCTGCAGGTCTGCGGATTAGCCCTCAAAAGGTCGACAACGTGCTTATAACCCATCTGGTATTGCGGGTGGTGTCGATTGCTTAGCACCAGATGATCCGTCTATTCGTCGGATCTACATTTTTGCGATTTTCGTTTTATTGCATCAAAGGTTTTTACCATCTCTATACACTTGTAAATTTTTAAATTCCTAAAACCATCCATCTTTAGTTTACCAGAGGGGAATAATGTGTTCAGTGCGTACGATTATATTGTCGCGTAATACATTATGACGTTATTATACGGGTACAAAGTCAAAGTCAAAGCATTTATTTCAATTAAACCATAGTTTGGTAAATTTTATTTTCATTGACGTTTCAACAAATCTATACTATATACTATACTATTTATATTATAAAGAGGAAAGATTTGTATTTTGTATTTTTGTATGTTTGTAATGAATAAACTCAAGAACTACTGGACCGATTGCAATAATTTTTTCACCATTAGAAAGCTGCATTATTCAGAAGTACCATAGGCTATATAATATCACGCTAGGTCCTATAGTTGTGGAGCAGTAACCAAAAATGTTTTAAAAACGGGGGAAAAGTATCGTTTCTGAGGCCTTCCGTGGCGTGCGCTGAGCATATAGTTAAAGTTATCATTCGCGCTTAATATATGTTTTAAATTTACTTTCATTGAGATCTAGTATGCTATTTGGTATTTTATTATAGCATTTAATACCTAACCCCATAAAGGATTTCTGTACTTTGGACAGTCTGAATTGCGGTATAGCTAACTTATTTTTGCCTCTAGTATTAAAATTGTGTCTATCGCTTCTTTTTTCAAACAATTGCCTATTTTTCCTTACATACATTATATTTTCATATATATATTGACAGGGCACCGTTAAAATATTTATCGTTTTAAACAATTCTCTCAGTGATTCGCAACGGCGTAAGTTATATATTGCTCGGATAGCCCGCTTTTGTAGAATAAATATTGATTCTATTTCGACCCCACAACAAAATGCCGTACGACATAATGCTGTAGAAATAACTAAAATAGACAAGCCTAGCTGTATCTACGTCCGTGAGCTGTCTAATCTGTCTAACTGCAAAAGCAGCTGAGCTCAATCTCCCCGAAAGCGCCTTTATATGCGGACCCCATTGTAGCCTATTGTCTAACGTAATGCCTAAAAATACTGTCTCGTCGACAAATTCTAACTTTTGACCGTTCAAAACAATATCACAATCGTTACTACGCACGTTTGGTAAAGTGAATTTAATACATTTTGTTTTTTTTGTCTCTTTTTTTTTCTTTTTCTTTTCTCTTTTTTTTCTATATAAATATATGGTACTACCGACCAAATCCAAAAATTCTAGTTCAGATAATAATCTGAGATCTGCCACATCCACCAAAACCTGCGTACTGTAGTGGCACGTAGTGGTTAATAATATTGCATGCGCAGTTTCTCATATTTCCAATACTTTTTTGATAAAGGACATCGTTTTGTGAGGTAGGTGCCTAATTCTAATATTCACACTTCATACAAATTTGGTCAGGATACATTGATTAATGTTCATTTTATACACAAGAAGAAACTTCAAGCGGCCGTCCTGTAAAGTAGGAATTTTTCACATACGACTTTATTAATTGCTACGGCCGTTGTATTGAAATTACAATGTTTCTGTAGATATTATTGGCAATACCTGACTTTAATATGTCCACAAAATAGAGAAAAAGATACTCACGTCTTCGGATTCCATTATGTTGCAGCATTGACCCAGAGATGTAACGGGATGACGCTTGAAGCCTAACATGATGCTAGGAAGTGACCAGGATTCGCAAAAACCGCGACAAGCGTTTGTAGTTATTTTGAATTCTACGCAATCCGGTATGCTTATATTTCTGGTATGACCTGAAATTATATACAATTAATATTATTCTTTTTATAAAGAATTGTAAAGTTAATCACAATTTAAAGGCAAAATGTTTTATTTTATAATATTTCATTTGGATCGACACTAACCGATTCGATGACACCCAGGCTTCCTCCATGATTCTGCAGTGAATACGTTGCTGAGAGATATCAGTAAGAGTAAACTCCTCAAAAGCATTGTAATTCTTCTCAAACTTCAGTTTGCGAATGAAAAATATTCTGTGAAGTTTTCCTTTTATGTCGCTTGTTGGCAGAGATTGACAAGTTCGATTTTTTAGGTGTAATAAAAATAAGAAGGTAGTATTTCTAATTAGCAATCGATTTATGTTGATCCTTTTTAAAAATATAATTATAATCTTATATTAAGTGCATATGAACTGAGTAGGTACTCAGATATGATATTGATGATGAGTAAGGTCAAATAAGGTATCTATACCTACGTGTCTGTCGCGGAGAACCTAACGGGATACCAGGGCTCCGGCTCGACGTGCAGGAGAAGGAACTGGGTGGTTTTTAGTCAATGAGTCTGACATTCTGATTTTCCCTACTTAAACTGTCAAACACCAAGCGGTCACCGGTGACCGCAACCTATTGTTCTATAATTGTGTCTACAATGACGATACTCGACGAGTTAAAAAAATATATACCTACGTGTACATACATACATACATAACATCACGCCTTTTATCACCGAAGGGGTAGGCAGAGGTGCACATTATGCCACTGTACAATGTAACACCCACTTTTCACTATTTATGTTATGAGTCCCATGTAATAGGGGGTGAGCCTATTGCCATATATCGGGCACAATTCCAGACTCCGTGCTACTACTGAGATTTTTTTAAAAACCCAGTAATACTTTGCCCGACCCGGGAATCGAACCCGAGACCCTTGCCCGGCAGTCGCACTTGCGACTACTCGGCCAACGAGGCAGTCGTACGTTGTATATCTACGTGTCTATTGCCGTAATGGCATAACAAGAATTTAGATACTTGAAATTTTTTAAACTTTTGTTTAAGAAGTGTTTATCACACAAAAGGTTGGTAATCTCTGATTAAAAGGGAGTTTGTTTTCAGTTCATAAATTTTGCTGACGCTGGACGTTAAAGTGCTTCGAGGCAATGGGGCGCATAGCAAACAAGCCAACGGACTGTATTAAATTTGTGAAGCTTTACGCAAATTTGCAAAGTATTTTTCTCATATCAAAATAGAAAGTTAGACTTAAATATAAATAAACAAAGTGGACTTGTAGTATCTACTTACATTAAAATATAGGTACAAATTATAATTTAGTATTGATGGAACCATGGATAGTACAGAACATACATATTTTCTAAATGCAAGCATGCACCTATAATAGTGTTATAATCTAAAGGTAATTGACCTATTATTATAAGACTATATATTAAACTGTCAAACACCAAGCGGTCACCGGTGACCGCAACCTATTGTTCTATAATTGTGTCTACAAAACCGGTACTCGACGAGTTAATAGGTAAATTTAATGTACCTGTTCATTTGTTGACGGAATCAGTTGCTAGGCACCCAACACAGAGGGGACATTTAACGAAAACATTGAGAGCATCGCTGATATGGAAATTGAATATCGAATATTAAATCTTTACAAAACAAAGCAATTCGATGAATGTCTTAAATTATGTGAAACGGCCTTACGCAGTAAAGATGATCGTATGATAGAATTTATACGAATGCGGGCTATGACAATACAAGCAAAGGTCGTTGGTAATGGGTATGAAGAGGTAGAATATTATCCTCAGCAAGATGACCTTATATCAACGGCGGTAGCTAAAACTCCGAGACCAGGAACTTCATTTCTCCGCGATGCTAAAACAGCTCGTAATGTTGATACATCATATCAGGTAAATTCGCGCTTTTTTATCTATTTACGTAACTGACTCTGAGATACTTCTAATGTGTGAAAATGTTAAATATACTCGTTATTTAAGAAAAGAGCTACAGCCACGGTACGATCCCGGGCTGGGACCAACACGGCTGGTGCGCGCAGCGTACGTACAGCACTCAATACAGCATCGCGGATGTCCCGCGCAGCCACAGCCCTCGCCGGAGGAGCCTCCTACACACCAGGGGCACCATTATCTCTACGATTTCTTTCAAAAGAAGACAAATTTTTTATTCCAGCATCAAAGACACTTTTTGAATATGTGTTTTATTGTGAAGGTGACGTGAGAAAGGTGAAGTATATATAATTATAATATATATATTATACTTACTAATTTCTTAATATACAAATGCATTTTACCTTCCCTAATTAGTCATGAATTAGGTTTTACCTTAATCTCTTCTGTGTGAATCACATAATAATATATATAATGCTTCTGTGTGAATCTCTTCAATGGGTCCTACCTTAGGTATTAATAAAAAAATATTTAAACATTTTTATTTTATATCTCTTGAACAGGCTATGGAGGTGGCATTTCAAGCACAGAAGGCTGATGATGTACTCACTGATTGGTGGTGGAACTTTTCATTAGCTCGATGCTATTACGCACTCGGAATGTACAGAAACACAGAAGACTGTTTACGTCAAGCTCTGAAACAAAACAAACACATCTCCATATATCTTAGGCTGGTGGCAATGTACGTGGGATTAAATCAACCAATATCGGCACTAGATATCTGTAAACAAGGACTGTCAGTGTTTCATGAGTACACGCCATTATTAATTGAGCAAGCCAGAATCCATGAGCAAATGGGTAACTCCGCTCTGGCTGTCAAAGAATATCGATTGGTAGCTTTAGAAGATCCATCGAACATGGAGGCTATAGCTAACATAGCTATGTACAATTTTTATAATGATCAACCAGAAATTGCTTTAAGATATTATAGGTAAGACAAACGAAGGATAGGTAACGAGTAAATACTTGTACTGTTGGGTTAAAAATACTAATATTTGTTTTTAATATCTACAGGAGGTTGTTGGCCACAAATACTGCAGGATCAGAAATATACAATAATTTAGGACTCTGCTGTTTGTACTGCAATCAATGGGACTTGACAATACCATGTTTTCGTCAGGCACTCTACTTCTCTGCAGATCCTGATATTCGTTCAAATATTTGGTTTAATCTTGCTCATGTGGCCCTGGTATTTAATTAATTTCTTTGTATGTAATGTACAGTGATTATTAGTATACTTATTGACATTATTTTTAATCCGTTATTATGTTTTCAGTCCACGGGTGATATAACATTATCTTACAGATGCCTGCAAGTAAGCCTGGCAATAGACTCAAAGAATGAAGCTTCTCAACATGCGTTACAAGTCCTAGACGCTAGATTACGTGCAAGAAGGAAGAACGCTAATTAATGTTTTACAAAATTAAAATACTTACATATTATGAAAAAAAGATTTGAGACGTGTTTTTATTTAAAAAATCACCATAAACCTATCGTGCACTCGGTGCGAAACCAACTGGCGTCGGTACTGAAGCTTAATGTTTTACTAACCGGAAGGACACCGAGAAATAAAATCAAGACTGTACAGTTTTTGGAATGAAAACCACTCATCAAGTTTATAATTTATTTATTCATTAGCCTATATGGACCCAATGTTGAGCAAAGGCCTCTTCTCACACGAAGAAGGTATTAATAATTTATGCACTCAAAGATAATAAATAATCTATGGGAATGTCTAATGATTCCATATTACGAAGTTCATTGTATTTAAAAGCCACAAGCGAATCCAACGTTGCTTCGGGATGAGCATGCATTTGTGACGACATCACTGTATGCGAGTTACTATTCACTGCATTAGGCGGTATTCTGGACATGTGTCTAACCTTCACCTAAAAAAGTAAGTTAAAATTATTATTGCCCAATTAATATATTCTACTGCACTAATAATGTCACTATTCTCTATGTTAGTAACTTTAATTCAATACAAAGTTAGAACAATAAAATCAATAAAGAGCAGTCTACAACACAGCGTTACGCAATGTCTTCTTACCACTGTAGTTACTACGCTACTTTTGCTACTGTACTATTCCATAGTTGCCACGGTGCTACGCCATAGTAGCTACGCCGTAGTTGCTACGGTGCTAAGACGCATCGCTAAGGTACTACCGCTGCCATTGCAGCGGTAAGTCCCCTCTTTGAGGAGTGGCTTGAGAAACGCTACGGGGCGTCCTCACCTACCGCCTGACGCAGGTCCTCACCGGACATGGAAGTTTCGGGAGGTACCTGTGTCTGATGGGGCGGGAGGAAACGCCCGGGTGTCATCACTGCGAGGACCGCCCTGAAGACACGGTCCGGCGCGATCTCATGGCGGAATGGCAGCAACGACTGTCGCAACCGAGGGCTGGGCTCGCTGCCATCGCAGCGGTAAGTCCCCTCTTTGAGGAGTGGCTTGAGAGACGCTACGGCGTCCTCACCTACCGCCTGACGCAGGTCCTCACCGGACATGGAAGTTTCGGGAGGTACCTGTGTCTGATGGGGCGGGAGGAAACGCCCGGGTGTCATCACTGCGAGGACCGCCCTGAAGACACGGTGGAACACACTGTAGCGGAATGCCCTGCCTGAGTTGACCACCGCCGTGCCCTCAGGGAAGTGATCGGCGATGGCGACCTCTCGTGTCCGGGCCTAGTGCAGGTCATGATGCGGAGCGAGGGATTGGGATGCCGTCTCCTCCTTTTGCGAAGCAGTTATGCTAGCTAAGGAGGAGGCGGGACGTGTGAGGCAGCGAAGCGCTACCTCCTCGCAACCCAGCCATCGCGAAGGACACACCGGGCGTCGGGGATCGCAGGACGATGTCCGGCCACCGTAAGCGCGGGCCTGCGGACGGTGAGCATGGATGGCTCCCCGTCCGACCAGAAACAGACCCGAGCGTACGGCGCGTCGCGTTCCGCGCGCGCCTCAAAGAGCCATCAGACCACCACAGATGGGGCCCAACAGGGCCGATGCCGATTCGGAGTCGCGGAGAACCTAACAGGTTACCGGGGCTCCGGCTCGACGTGCAGGAGAAGGAATGGGGTGGTTTTTAGTCAGTTAGAGTTTGTCACTCCCTCCCGCCTCACCCAGGCGGGAGCAGTCATTCGATGATTTTTACCCCTTAAAAAAAAGGTACTACGCCGTAGTTGCTACAGTGCTACGCCATAGTCTCTACGCTATAGCGTTATTATATCGTTAGACGTAATAAAATAAATAAAAGTCACAAAATCTCAGTTGAATAACACAAATGGTTTTAGAGTTATCCAACATTTAAAATCAAATTGCAGTCAAATGACAGCTCCCATTTTTATAGTATTACTACAGTAGGTCCTATTAAGGGATAGCAAGTATTACTACAGTGCTATTATATTATAGTAATAATATTACGTACATATTATGTAGTAGCAACGGCTTGCTTACATAATCGCCTCATTGGTCGAGTGGTCGCAAGTGCGAATGCTGGCCAAGGGGTTTCGGGTTCGATACCCGGGTCAGGCAAAGTATTACTGGGTTTTCAAAATAAATTTCAGTGGTAGTACGGACTCAGGAAATGTACCCGGTATATGGCAATAGGCTCCCGCCTATTATATGGGACTAATAACATAAAATAATGAAAATGGGTGTCATATTGAACAGTGGCATCAAGTGCCGTAATTTGCACGTCTGCTTACCCCTTCGGGGATAAAAGGCGTGATATTATGGTTGTATTCCTTGCTAGCTACAGCACTACGCTGCAATTACTCTGGTACTACGCCGTAGTTGCTACGGTTAATACACTGTAGTTGCTACGGTACCACGCTGTAATTGTTACGAGAGAATCCCGTAGTTAAAATAACTCACTTGATCTATCGTAGCAGTCGGAATACCTATACTTTCCCAATTATCGGAATCTTTTGGAATAAATAAAGGTTTTGTGTAATTAGTATTCTTTTCTTTGATAGGAATACAGTTTCCGAAACCTATGTTAAACAACATATCTTTAGCGCGTCTGAGAAGTTGTGCTTCTTTAGATGAATAAAATATCAAGTGCGCATGATTAAGCAATGCGAAGCTTCTTAAAGTCGTGCAAATAAATTTCTTAATATCACTGTCTGAAACAAAAATATTCGTGATTACATATCGACAAACAGATGATGAAAATATTCTTTTTCTAAATGTAGAAGCGACTGGTTGCTTACCGTAATTCTTAAAAAGATCATATTTTCCACAAATTATTATTAATTCGGGTGAATTATGAGTTGTCGAATATACGTCATTCATTACTTGAGTACATGTCTCTAAAGTTTCCCATATATTTTTGATTTTACTTAGATCAACCATGATGCAAAAGAAGAACTTTCCGCATATGGGTGTTGATTGCAGCACATTATTCAAAGTTTCTAATTTACCACCGTACTCCCAAATGTGACACAAGATTTTATCAATCCCTTGTTTTTGATTCGATTTCCTCCCAAAAGAGTATTCCACTACAAGTGTCTCACGCGGCTGGTCGTTCTTTTCCAAAAAAGAATACAATAACGTTGATTTTCCCTAAAAATATTAAGATGAACATTATTATTTATAGACCAATATTAACCCTACTGTCGAATCTTTGTTTTCGTCAGTCCATCGTATATATGTTTATTTACGTTACGTCATAAATTCAAGATTTTGTTGCCCAGTGAATATGTATACAAGTACCGTAAAACAAAAACGGTGTGGATAGGGATCGAAACGTGAATAGAGACAAAAGAGGGGTGAATTGGGAAATTCTTTGTAGTATCGATTAACCTCTCTTCTGTCTCTATACACCTCTCGATTCCTATTCACCCCATTTTACCGTATACATCTTAGCCAACCCCATTAGACATTAGGTAAAGGTAAAAGAGCGACGAAAATATTATCACTTATCACTAATAGAACACTATTGGGGATCTGGGTTATTACTAATAATTTTCGAAAACCTATTTAATATCTATAAAACGTTGCTCGAATCAGGAACCGACCCGACTCTCTTCGATTTAAGAGTTAGACTTGGGATATTTATGAGACGTAATTGAAGAACGAGCAACCAATAAAATACAATGCATTCAATAAACATCACTCACAACAGATTTGCTTCCAACAAGAAAGATTGTTCGCGAATTATTTTCGCTCACATTTGTAAGTGTTTTATCAATTAACTGTGTAGCTATTTCAGGAATTGATAACATTTTATGTATTTTCTTGTATTTATAATATTATATCACTCCACCTAAAAGGTAACTTTCCAGCACAACTTTAAACTATAATAAAAAAATTAGATGATTTATGAAAACTTTTCAATGTTTGTGTTTTCTTTTCTGTTAGTGCTTCGTTGCTTGGCAACTAATGGATGTGTCGCAGAGGGTTTGTAAAATCCGCCATATTAAATTACGGCTGGCCGTTTAGAAAAGCAGTTTGTAAAGGTGTGTCCAAACACGGCACGCAATACACAATACATAATACCTACACCTTAATCTCCATAATACAAAATGTACTCTGTGCACCTTAATACAACTGCTGAACGACTAGCTACCGCTGAGTAAAAATCCGCCAGATAGTTTTCGGCGCACACAGAATGGTCGTTATGCTCCTAATCCTCAATAATATTATTATTTTCAATTAGGTGACGTCAGTGCCGGTCTTAAGAACATTTTTAGGTGGTGCGGAAAATAAAATATTTACAACCCTGCACACTCACCTGAAAATATCCTACAAAATAAAAACGAAAGGCTTCCACATGTATATCATCGTTGATCAACCTTTCGGCACGCCTCTCGATGCACTTAAATTCTCTAGCTAGCAAAGTCACCTCGTAAATGAGAGCAATTCTCCATGGGTACGGGGCTTGCTAATAATAAATAAATAAATAAAATAAAAATCATTTATTTCGGATATCTAAGAGATCCATAAAATTAATTAATATCTATACCATACATCATTAATACCATACCATCGCAGTCGCAGTAATACAAAATTTAGTCAAATATCATAATTACCTACATTAAAATCAATCATACTTAAACTTAAAGAGAAGATGTCAACATAGAGTCAAAATTTCAACCAGACAGAAATACAAATATAATTATTATTAAATTAAATTATTAAATAACTCTTCTCACAAATGACCTCCAGAGTAAGGATGAGAATCTATCCGCCACAGTCTCCAGGATTTTGTTCCGGCTGCCACGCAATCTGCAGATCAGGGATGCTGTCTTTTTGCGAATAACGGCGTGAAGTCCATCAGTGCGATATAGTGCGAACATCCCCGATGCACTACAGAATCGGGGCAGCCCCAACATCATCCTGAAGATATTGTTATAGGTATTGGATGCGCAGGACATCCAGCGACCTTTTGGTGTGACACTGTGACTGACCCACAAACTTTCCGTGTAGAAGCTCTAATAATAAATACTCATTTCTCTGAACAATTTATGATTCAAGTCATAGAAGAAATTCCACCGCCCTTCCCGCATTGTTTTGTGATTATATCGTGCAACTCGTGTGTGCTCAGTTGGGTGCCTCTTGGTTCATTTTGGCGCCCCCACCGTAATGGCGCCCGGTGCCGTCGCACCGCTCGCACCGCCCTAGGATCGGCCCTGAAATTTTAAAATTTCGTCTTGGATTTACATTTTGATAATACCTACCTACCACCGGTTTTAAAACTAGAAAACGCCACCTATGAAAATACGTTGAATGTCATCAGTTGTGATTGTGAACTTGTGATTATGTTTTGCGAATCGTTTTTTGCTAATAAACTTCTTCTTTTTTTTCACTTAAATTTCAATCGAGTACCTTTATAAACATGTAAAAGAATAAAGTTGAAGTTAAAGAAGAAACTTTTATCAAGTAAAGTTATGTTTTTGCTCCAAGGCTATGACGGGTAGGTTACGTATGACTGTTTATATTTTATCTGCCAGAGGAGGAGGACCTACAAAATAAACGATTGTATGTCTAAAATAAGATTTGTTTACATTGTTCATTCATTTATAGGTTAGTTTAGAATTTTCTTTGGTTGGTACTTACAACCTGTGACGCCCTCATTGATTTTCATTAATGAATGGGCAAATTACATCCCATAATACATCCAAATGAGGTGGAGAGGTTTGTTTTTCTTTTATATAATTTTAATCTTAAGTATTTAATTTAGTAATTGTTAGTTTTAATTTTATTCAAGTTTTTATTTGACTGCCTCATTAGTAATGTGCACCTCTGCCCACCCTTTCGGGGATAAAAAGGCATGATGTTATGTTTTGTTTTTATTTGAATAAAATGAATTTGGATAATGAATAATAATTTTCCAAATTAAGTATTTGGTTAATAAATAACTTTTAAGATAATATTGTTAATAACTAGGTATTAATTCCGCCATTATTATACATTTTTTAAAAATAATAAATAAAAGTCATATATAATAGTAATTTAGCTACTAATTTGTGTAATCATCGAATAATTTGTCTATGGTCTTGGGTAAAATGAACAGTATTGCCAACATGACGTAATTTTACAAAAAATCATTCGCATTCACAATATTCACTTTTTATTTTCCTATTTCATCTGTGGGAATGGCGATTGACGATTTGGGTGTCAAGAGATTTTAGAAAATCTTGTGCGAGTAATTGCGTTGCATTATCAGCTTGGTGTAATTATAACTTGAGCTTTAGATTTTATTAAATAATTTGTTGTCGATTTTATTTAACATCGATGATCAGTGCGAATTGATTACAAGTGGTAAGGAATACTTTGTCACCTTCACTCTTGCCCTAAAACTTTATTTATTTATTGTGCTTATTTTATCATTGTTTATGTTTTTGATTATTATTTTCTGTTTACTATTTTATATCTTTACTTTATTTCTTTATTCAAGTTTGTGATCACTCGTTCTAATATTACGAAAGAGAAAGGTCTATTCTGTTCATATTCACAGTCGTAATATTCCGTAACCTACATAGATACATTATTTTAAAATCTATGTCACAATATTTTTTTCATTATTAATTAGCTTTATTTTATATAACTTTAAACTTTATGTTTTCTAACATAGGTCAACATTTTGGAGTAACTAGTATAGAATTTATATAGTGGTCTAGTACATTGAACCAATTTCATGACTATTTACAACGTCCTCATGGTTTATTGTTATATAGTTTAACCTTCACAGTTTTAACAAAGACATCATAACTGTTTTACCACTTTCCACACTTGTAATTAATCAGTATGTCAGTTCTCACAAGGAAATATTCGTATTACAGGTGACCTGGGCCACTAAATCAAGAAGGTAGTTGAATGCTTTAATATCTAATTGATTATATAATGTTAGAACTTTGTTTTATAATATTTATTGTAAAATTATATTTGACTTAGATGGCGGAAGTGGATCCAGAAACCCTTTTAGAATGGCTGCTGACTGGGCAGGGTGATGAGCGTGACATGCAACTCATTGCTCTTGAACAGCTATGCATGCTGCTTCTCATGTCCGACAACGTAGACCGATGCTTTGAAAGGTATAGTAAAAGTACAGTTATACTCATATTAAAGCAATCTTAACAAATTCTTTTATTCTATAGGACTTCAATACAAGAGTCGATTCAAGTACATAAACAGTACTTTTAGATAATATAATATTTATTTAAATAAACTATGTATTTATAAACAGAGCCAGGGCTCAACATTAAGTAAAGGTACAAAAGTGTACTATATGAACTATGACATCTAGAGTGATAGCAATATATTACACTCTGCCATGACTATATTCACATTTATTATGACTACTAAAGCTATAAATTATAATAAGCACAACATGTGTTGTAAATATATAATTAAAAATTGACATGTAATTTAGTCATCTCCAATTAAAGTCCCTGGAGTTAGGAACTCCAGGGACTTTCAGCTCAATTCAGCTCAAATTAATAAACTTAAAGAAGTTCCTACTATTCCTGCTCAAATTCCAAAAATTAAAAGTCAAAAAAGTCAAAATTATTTATATATTAATAATATTAGACTAGGAAGGCACTTTTGAATGTCAACAACAAAAATTTAGAAGTGAAGCTAGTTGCTCCTTCCGCAATGTCAAATCCTATGGAGAAGAACGGGCAAGAAGCTCCATAGGTTACTCTTTTTCAATTAAGTTTAATGTTCCAATATCTTCATGATTTGTTGAATAAAGTAATTTTCGCTATTGCTAACAACATAATTGATAACTTTAGAGTTAAATAAGCGATAAATTGGAAATATTTATTTTCACATATTTTACTATACAAAGTATCAGTTTTTTAGAATGCCTCACTGGCCGAGTGGTCGCAAGTGCGACTGCGGCAGGGAGTCTCGGGTTCGATTCCCAGGTCGGCAAAGTACTACTGGGTTTTTAAAAAATTCTCAGTAGTAGCACAGAAAAATTCTCAGTTTAGCAGTGTCTGGAATTGTGCCCAGTATATAGCAATAGGCTCACCCCCTATTACATGGGACTCATAACATAAATAGTGAAAAGTGGGTGTTACATTGTAGAGTGGTATAATGTGCACCTCTGCCTACTCCTTTCGGGGATAAAAGGCGTGATGTTATGTATCAGTTTGTTAAAGAAAAACAACAGCAATAACACCGTTTTCCAACTAAGAAACTTGCTTGCTATGGTGTTTTATGAATACTTGGGGAAGTTAAATTTTAATGTTGAACATTTCACAAAGCAACTGAGGCTTGAGTAAAATATCAGCATACGTAACTAATCCTCCAGTTAAAATGTAATTTGTTAAATTTTACAACATTTTTACACGATAATAATACCATGTACTTGTGAAACAGCTTATTAACCACATTCATTAGGTAAAGTGTGGTGGAATGGTAATGGTTACAGTGTCAATATGATTATTGATAGTTTTGACATGCCTTGTTGTGAGTCACTGTGTTTAGATAAAAATGTGGAGGGATAAGAATGCAAAATAATAGCACATTTTCAAAACATAGAACTTTTATTTAAGTATTTGACTTATATTATGGAATAAATTCATGTATATATTCAAAACACTTTATACAATATACATGAACAAAGAAATAAATGGTATAAAGGTTGATAAGTGAAATATAAACCATAGTATTTTGTTCCAAGAGAAAGAAACCACAATTCATTTTCCTCAACCTAATTTATATGCACATGTGTAGTCAATCAATGCTAAAACTAAGAGTATTTGTACCTATGTAATCTTTAAAAACTGGTAGAAAATCCAATTTCAATACTTACTAAACAGCTATAAAAAAACATTTGAAACATTATGTATTTAATATTTAATTTGTCGTTGATTGGTGAACATAGCTACAAGTGTTTGTGTTATCTTGGTGTTGTGATTTTATTCTTTTGTATTCATAATATAGAATTTAATTTAATTCAAAATGGATGTTTTTTCGTTCAGCATACTGAAGTTTACTGAATTCTACATTCCTTTAAACTAGCAGTGAGGGGAAAACTAATGAAAATGATAAATCATATTTTTATGATCTTTCTTTCAGCTGTCCTCCTCGAACATTTCTCCCAGCATTATGTAAAATCTTCTTAGATGAATGTGCACCTGACAATGTATTGGAAGTGACAGCCAGAGCTATTACATACTATCTGGATGTTTCTGGTAAGTTTACTATGTGTTATGGTCATGCTGATGCGATAACGAGCATTCATTAATATTTGGGGAGTAGGTACAACACTGGTATTCTTCATTTCACTTTGCATTTTTTTTAAAACTTGCCAGACTAGGATTTTTTCCTGTGTCATGGGTGCATTTACGAATATTCAATTTCACTTACACAAATGACACCCTATTATGACTATAAGTCTTGTATCATATCTGCTGACATAATTTTGTTCTATATATCCCAGAAATGTCATTGTGAACGACCCCTATATTCACTATAGATCCATTAAAGATATTTGAATTTGTTACACAAAAGTCCATTGTGAGATACTAACCATATAAATATTATTGCAGCGGAATGCACAAGAAGAATTGTAGCTATTGAGGGAGCAGTCAAAGCTATTTGCAGCAGATTGCTCACCGTTGATCCCAACAACCGTACCAGCAAGGATCTCGCAGAACAGTGCATTAAAGTAAGACTTAGTATTGTATAATTTAGGAGAATATATTGTCAATATCTAGTTTGACTTTGACTGAATTGTGTTTTAAATCTCAGGTGTTGGAGTTAGTTTGCACTAGGGAGGCTGGTGCCGTTTGGGAAGGTGGTGGCCTGCCTGCAGTGTTACACTTCATTACGCATCATGGTACATCTGTGCACAAGGACACTCTCCACTCAGCTATGGCAGTAGTATCAAGGTTTGTTGATTAAATCTGTTGTGTGATTGATTTTCGTAGGTTTTATTTATTACGGGCATGAAGTAATATCATGAATATTCACAAATATGTAATATCATTAGGGTTTGTGGCAAAATGGAACCAGGTGACGCTCGCGTGGGTGACGCAGTTTCGTCTCTATCAGCACTTCTACGTCACAATGACGCGCGGGTCGCAGACGCAGCACTGCGCTGTTTCGCATCGCTAGCTGACAGATTTGCGCGTGCGCACGCTGACCCGGCTCCTCTCGCTGAACATGGTATGTTACTATTCATTTTTTCTCGATTTGTCTAGGCGTGTACCTATCAATCACTCTGGTTTAAAATTGTTTAATTCTAAAGAATGCGTATTGATTAATAACACAGACGATTTTCTATAGATTATTGTCTTGATTAAATATTATTATTAAACATTCTATTCTATCGACAGGTTTAATAGAGGAATTAGTGCGCCGCCTGGGCAGTGCCGAGAGTGGCGATGATAAATGTTCAGCTCCAGCTGTGTCTACTACTGTTAGCTTATTATCTACATTGTGCCGTGGTTCTGCACAAATTACTCATGTAAGTTATTAACATTTTTGTATTTTAACCTGCAACTGCAACATACATCATGTTCCTAATGGTTTTTTGTATTATTACTTTTGATCACTATATTACATTGTAGGATCTCGTCCGTTTGGAGTTGTGCTCAGCTGTGGAGGCGGCAGTACAGGCTGATGAGCGTTGGTGTCTGGAATGTATGCGGCTAGTGGACTTACTGCTTGTTCTCTTATGTGAAGGACGACATGCTATACAGAAGTAAGACATTACACATCTTACACCTAACATCTACATTGAGTTTGTTCAAACAATAATTAGTAATATTTAATTCGTTAAATTAAATTGGTGTAATAATACTATTTGTGAATTGAATTGTTGATTTGACATTAAACTTCGAAGTAAACATTTTACTGATGGAATTTGGTTGTGCATCAGTGGGTCGAACCGTAACGGTAGTTCGACGTCGGGGTCGAGTGCGTCGGGCGGAGCCAGCGGCGAGGGCTCGTCGGGCGGCGGCAGCGGCGCGCGCGGGGACAAGTCGCACCGACAGCTCATCGACTGCATCCGCGGCAAGGACACCGACGCCTTACTGGCCGCCGTCTCCAGCGGCGCAGTCGATGTCAACTTCACTGACGACGTCGGACAAACCCTACTCAACTGGGCCTCGGCCTTCGGCACAAGGGAAATGGTTGAATTCTTATGCGAGAAAGGTAAGCGTTTAATATACGAGTATCTCTGCTACAGTACACTTATATTGCTCATCATACTTATATATATTACATAAAATATATTTTGTGAAGAATTAATGTTTTAATTTTAAATGGGTTGATATCTCATCATAGGTGCTGACGTGAATCGTGGTCAACGTAGTTCATCTTTACATTACGCAGCTTGCTTCGGTCGTCCAGCTATTGCTAAAGTGCTACTTCGTTATGGTGCAAATGCAGACCTACGCGATGAAGATGGAAAAACACCTCTTGACAAGGCCCGGGAAAGACATGACCAAGGTGAATATTTATCTATTAATGATTATTACAATACCACGAAATGTATCAACTTTATTAAAATATTTTTTTAAATGTAGGTCATAGAGAAGTGGCAGCGATCCTGCAGTGTCCCGGAGAGTGGTTGGTAGTCGGTAATCACGATTCGCCTTCACCGACCAATGATGACGATTTCCCTGAAACTGGCGACAAGGAAATGGCAGCAGTATACCTCGAGTAAGATAGTTTTTGTTTAATTGCTGACGTATAATTGCTGACCGTTGGATAGTATGTAACCTGGCGCGTGGTGTGCAGACGCCTGGTGCCGGTGTTCTCTGCGCGCTACCTGGGCGCGGGCAGCGCGGGCGTGCGGCGCGCGTGCCTGTCGCTGGTGCGCAAGATGGTGCACTACGCGCCGGCGCGGCTGCTGCGCGCGCTGTCGCTGCGGCGCGAGCCGGCCGCGGCCGCGCTGCTGACGCAGCTGGTGGCGGCCGTGCTGGACAA